GTAAAGGCAGATATCGCTTTTACAGGGTGAGGATTGGATAACAATGTGAAGTCCATCATTGCAGTCGAAGTACTGCAGGAAAGGCCTAGAAGCAACCGGGTAGCTGCCTCGAGGCGAGGAGATATAACTGAAGTACCCTGGAGGGACAGCTTGAAAGTTAAGAAACAGGATGAAAAGGTAATGGATGGACTTAAAATTTGGATGGCAAAAGGATGAAAGGGTAAAAATTTTGGTACTGCTAAGGGTTTTGTAGCAAGTCTGGTGGGTTCTGATGCGCGAAAGGCTGAAACCACTAGTACAAGGGGGTCTCCTCCGAAGAATGTAGATGTATGCAAGCAGGCCACGGAAAGGGTGGGCATACTGGTGCCATGGGGGCTACTCTGGGAGGCGCACAAAATTTCGAGTACCCCAACTTGGGCAATTTTTTTTAAGTTCTCGTTTTCTGTTGATGAAAAAATCCGGGAAAAATTGTTGTGCTGGACATCTCCCTCTACCTCTCTCAAATCCATTTTTTCGCTCTCTTTCAGGATATGATGATTTGGCCGTACTTCTTTCTGATGCTGGCAAAGCTGCACCAGCCCTTCTTGTTGTTCTACAATGCATACTCGATTTGGACAGACGAGGATTTTTCAGCTAGTTATTGTTTTCCTAGTATGTCTACATATCAATGCAACCTTGTCTCTTTTTGGTTTCGTTGTGGTCAGTGAAACCCATCTCAAACCCAGAAGGAGCTGACATGGTTGAACTTATGGCATCTGTGCAGAGGTGTGAATGGCGCAGGAAAGACCACAACACTCTCTATCTTGACGGGCGACCTACGACCAACACATGGTGATGCTTTCATCTGTGGCCACAGTGTGGTCAATGGCCTGCCAGGCGCTCAGAGGTTGATTGGCTACTGTCCGCAGTTCGACCCTCTGCTGGACCTGATGACAGGGCGAGAGCACCTGCTGATGTATGCGAGGCTGAAAGGAATTCCGGAGCAAAATGTTCACCAGTTGGTTAAGGAGGTTATCACTGCAGTGGGTCTCAGTGAATGTGCAGATCGAGTGGCAGGCTCATACAGTGGAGGCAATAAGCGCAAGCTTTCTCTTGCAATTGCTTTGGTCAGTCACCAAACCTGTTATTGCCCTTAAACATGTGTGTGTGTGTGTGCACGCGATGGTGCGTGTGTGTTTGTTTGTTTGGGGCGTGTGCTCTGGCAAGTTGCGCCCACAGTATGCCAAGAGAACACTCGGAAAAGAGCTTGCATCCAGGGATGCCAATGGAAGGAATGCAAAGATACGAAGGCATCAGAGCATGGGAGAGTGGGGGACAAGAAAGTGCAAGGACAAGAATTGGAAGAAGAAAGCAAAAAGAACAGAAATGCTACGCTAGACCCCGCTAACGACCGTATTTCCAGAACGGGTTCACCTCAGTCCTCCCAGGAAGCGGCGCCCATCCAGGAATTAACTATGGACCATAGTCTGGCGAACCCGTTCCGTACCCTACACCCGACTACAAGAGGTTTCTCATTAGTGAAGAAAAAACACTCCCACCATACGGCCTTCTCTCACATAGACTTATTTTTGGTGTCTGACCACCTCATGGGAACAGTCAAGGAAGCTGAGATTTTGCCATTGGCGCCGTACCCGGGGTTGGACCACAAACCAATTGAACTGATAGTCAGTCAGCTTCGACCAACTCATCCAGAAAGGCGGGAGCTTCTACAATTTAAATAACTCCCTCCTACTGAGTCAAGAATTCATAGGGTGTATGGAGGAGAACTGGAAGAATCTGGAAGGAAGCTTCATCTCGGGGGGGACATGTGGCAATGGTTCCAAAATAGCTACCTGACACTAGCCAAAGCAGCAGCAAAAATATCGAGGAAAATGGCCAATGATAGGAAAAGACGGAAGGTGA